TTCTCTTTTCACAAAACAACCGACCCCCCCCCCCCCCCCCCCAAGATCTGGCAGAATGTTGTGTTTGTGTAATGTGTGCAGTCATTGTATTGTGGTGTATTGTTTTGATAAGAGCTGCTGGCACCGGGGCTGGTGGAAAGGGCCCTGTGTTAGGTTGCCTATTTATATGCAGTGTCTGTCTGGACATCTGTCTAGGGAAAGATGAAAGAATAGCACTGCACAGGAATTGTTCATCAGGATTGAAGCCACCGGTTATATGTTTGTGGTGCATATTTATAGGAAGGCATTGCCAAAAGGGTCATTTAGTTTTCATATTTAGCCCCTGTTTGGCAGGTGTTTGATCAAGAATTTTGACCAACAATTAGCTTTATTTCTTTGTTTCACGGACTAAAACTCAGGACTGATTATCTACAATTTGTTTGGAATGCAGAGTACCAATTTTCTTTTAATTAGCAACAGATTGGACCATTCACCAGCCTACAATTTGATACGAAGGTGGATTTATATGCTGAACACATCTGTACCTTTGCGCAGGATGTCTGAAACGAGTGACATCCTCTTCTATCTGTGTCGTAACTTTTTGTAAACACTGGAAATACAAGAAAAAAAAGTGTTAATCAAAATGAGGCCTACGTGTTTATCTTGCAAAGAACATAAACACCCCTTCATGTGTTATATCTTTAGTAGCATGCTGATCCTCTTTTTACAATATTTATTAAGTTGGTAAATTATTAAATATACTTTGAAATTTATGTATGCAGTGTTTACAGTATCATGACCTTGTGAATGAATGTATTTTTGGATTTGTATGAGGGACACAGAGAATGAAATTGGGATATTTTAAGACAGCACAGGCTTACAAAACATAAGCTAAGTCATACATTTCAAGGTATGGTTTCAATATCATTGTTTATGTAACCCCCTGGGTTATTGTTATTATTTCCCCAATTCATTTTTATTATTTCACATGCTTGTATTTATTTGTGATCGTTTAGTTTCTTTGTAATGTTGACAACTATAAAATGTATGTGTTCTAATATCAGTGAACACAGCTTTAAAGGTTTGTTTGGAGAGTACACATAGTTAACTTCCTACTAAATACCTTGCGAATGTTATGTTATATAATGCCTGAGATGCTGCTATATTTACACTGACTTAGACAAGTTAGGCTAAGTTATGGTTTGAATATTCACGTTTATATTTAATATATAAGTCCTTCGCTGTGTTAAGCACGAGTTGGTCACCTTCTGACTGTTTCAAGGTGTCATTGTTCCTCTCTCTTGTCATCTTTCATAAGTGATGTAATGTTTGACGTTTTTTGGCTGCAGTATTTAAATGAAACCTAAAGAAAATACCTGAAGGGTATTTAACCACCCTGCCCTGCCCCTTTTCTTTTCTACAGATGGTTCACTTCCCACAATCGACTACGTTGAGGTACAAAAATCAAAATGTCCCGACTCCTCCCTCTCTCACCTGAGTAGTAAACCTTCCTGATTTGAGTAACTCTTTTCCAGTTTCCAACCCTTCCCAATTAGCGCTCCTTTTTACCTAAATGACAACCAGCCACCCCTCCCCTGCTTCTTAACTGTGTTTCCTGAGTGGAATGCCATTTCCAATATTTCCCCTTTCCCCGTGCTTTTTTCCTAACTGGAATGGTATATTATCCCAGTTTCAAATTTTAATTCAAGTCTCTACTTTCTTTTAATGATTCAGACAATCGTTTTTTATCTTCAAGTTAGTTTCTTTTCCTGCTTCCCCCCCAAATCCCTGATGCAAGCTGTTCATTGGGGTTCTCCACTGTTTCCCCAAACCTGCTGCTAAGAAAACGCTCCAATGGTTTCCCTCTTAACAAAACACCTGTGTAATAACATTTTACACTTTTCTGATTCAGTGAAGTCTCTCTTGTCCTTCTCACTGACTCAAACCTAACAGTGTGTACCCTTACATTTCTGTGTTAAACCCTTTCCTCCCTTGTATTCTTCTTCTCTGTCTTCAGTTTCTCAGACCAGAGCTGCATCCCTCTCTCCTCCACCCTACGTCGTCATCCTCATCTCTTGCTCTGGGCTCGTCTCTTTTGTCCTGCTGCTCCTGACCTGCCTGTGCTGTAAGAGAGGAGTGGGGTTCAATGTAAGTCTTCAACATGTAAGAGATCTATTCACCTCTCTCTGCTTCCTTTGTTTTGTCACACCTTTTGTGCATGCTGGTATGGCTTTTATTGAAGCTTGACTTGATAAACTGCAGGTGGATTCAGTATGGAAATTGTAACAGGACTCAATAATTACAACTTAATGAAGTAGAAGTGGTCAATAATCATCTCTCCATTTAATCTTGACTTAGCCTCCATCTTTTGACCTGGCAGTGTTGTTGAGCTGGCAGACATGGTGTCATTAGTTCAGAGTGGCTGCACTCTCATTGTCTGTCCTTGTTGGTTACTGCTAAATTCAACCGTACTATTAACAGCGCTTATTTCATATTTTCGATAATACCAGTGATGTGATTTTTCTGTGCTGTTGTGACTCAACCAGGAGTTTGACAATGCAGACGGGGAGGAATGCTCTGGAGGCTCCAGTCCCATCCAGGAGGACAGCCTGTCGTCATGTCCCTCCCTCCCTGAGGTCTACACCTTGCCGATCCGAGAGAGGTCCAACTGCCCCGCCCAGCAGGATGGAACAGGTAACAACCTGAAACAACTCTCCTGCTCTCTGACTCTCATGTGAGCACAAACCCCTCAAGGAAGCTGAAGAACTGTCCTGCACTGAACTCCCTCACGGTCTGTTGCCCGAGTCACTGATGTGGATCCATTAAGGTCTCAAACTGAGTGTTCAACCAGTAAGCGCTGGACTCCCCACTGAAGTTCAGTGGAGTGGAAACTCTGATCTGAGAAAATTCTGCATCAGTGCTCCGTATGAGCACGTCAAGTTGGACATTTGGCCACAGACATGGGATGGCATCAACACACCTTTTGAACTTTTGTCTCAGATGAAGTTGTTATTGTGTCATTCGTTCAAGTCCCCCTCTACACACAAACCCGTTTCGCTTATTATTACTTCAGTGTGCAGGGAAATGTATGTGCACTAGAAGTCTCTTTTAACGACGACACAACCAGTCTGGAAGCCAATCGTGGTTCAATATGCAGCTTACACAAAAGTGATGTGGAAACATAAAAAGGACTTTTCAGTGAGTTAGAAGCCATCTTGTGTCCAGTAGTTAAACTTTTGAAATTTACAGATGAATAGATTCTGGATTTTTCAATGAAAACAAAGGAGTATATATTATTTCTAATCATTTTTAAGTAGGTAATTAAATATGATTTTTGTGGAAAAACAATATCAGACAAATTCTTTTTGAGTAATGTTTAGTTATAGTCTTTTTTATATGTTTTAAGGAATGTCTGGAGAGGATCTTTCATGTCTTGATGATGGCTATGGTTGTGAGCAGCACTGTAATTAAATAATGTATTTTCCCTTTTTTTATTTTTTTTGTTGTAAAATGTAAAGTCATAAAACAACTTTAAATGCAGACGTCTGAGTAACTCTGATCTTAATTTATTTCTCTTTTTTTTTACAGACTCCAAGTCTCAGTGGTTCAAAAGACACACTTTAAACTATCTTCAGGAGATAGGACATGGCTGGTTCGGAAAGGTAAGATGATCGCCTCTCACAGTCAGACATCACTGTAATTTCATGTTGAATTTTCTTTCTAACATCAATGACAATTTCTGATGTGGGTCATATTTCTCTGCTATAATAAATACTGGACTCTGAACAGATAAGGAATCTTAACTCAAATTAAATATATTTTTTACTGCTGTTCTGCTTCTGCTGGGCACCCCTCCATGTTATTGCCCATCGATCACTCCTAGGTGATCCTGGCTGAAGTGCTGTGTGACTGCAGCTCCTCTCAGGCCGTGGTGAAGGAGCTGCGTGTCAGTGCCAGCCCTCTGGAGCAGAGGAAGTTCTTGGCCGAGTCTGAGCCGTACAGGTGGGAGAAACTGCTGAAACTCGGGTAGCCATTTTGGTGGCAAGACTATGTAACTTTTGCTTAAATACAACCACTGTGGCCACATTTCATAATAGTCAGTTTAGCATAAAAGTAGCACAAGTAGAAAAGGACATTTGAGTAACTGAAATGACTGTATGAAGTCCGTTCTTTGGGAAAATCTATCTAACATTAGCTAACATTAGCAACATAAGCTGGTCATACCAGACCAATTGAGGCTGTATTTGCATAAACTGAGCGTATTTAGATGATGAAATTGGCATTTTATTGCTCATTGATTCACTTCAATCATTGATAACAGGAGCAACAATATGTCTAGCTTGAATTCCATCCATCCATCCATTTTCCACCGCTTATCCGGGGTCGGGTCGCGGTGGCAGCAGGTCAAGCAGGCCGACCCAGACCTCCCTCTCACCGGCAACATGTTCCAGCTCATTCTGGGGGATCCCGAGGCGTTCCCAGGCCAGCTGGGAGATGTAATCTCTCCAGCGTGTTCTGGGTCTTCCCCGGGGTCTCTTCCCAGTTGGACGTGCCTGGAAAACCTCCAGTGGGAGGCGTCCAGGAGGCATCCTAATTAGATGCCCGAACCACCTCAGCTGACTCCTTTCGACGCGAAGGAGTAGCGGCTCTACTCCAAGCTCCCTCCTGATGACCGAGCTCCTTACCCTATCTCTAAGGCTGAGCCCGGCCACCCTACGGAGGAAACTCATTTTGGCCGCTTGTAGCCGCGACCTTGTCCTTTCGGTCATGACCCAGAGTTCGTGACCATAGGTGAGGGTAGGAACGTAGACCGAGTGGTAAATTGAGAGCTTTGCCTTCCGGCTCAGCTCCCTCTTCACCAAGACGGTCCGGTGCAGCGCCTGCTTTACTGCTGCAGCTGCACCGATCCGTCTGTCGATCTCCCGCTCCATCTTACCCTCACTCGTGAACAAGACCCCGAGATACTTGAACTCCTTCGCTTGAGGTAGGCACTCCGTCCCCACCTGGAGGGAGCAATCCACCGGTTTCCGGCAGAGAACCATGGCCTCAGATTTGGAGGTGCTAACTCTCATCCCCGCCGCTTCACACTCGGCTGCAAACCGCCCCAGTGAATGCTGGAGGTCATGATCCGAGGAGGCTAACAGGACCACATCATCTGCAAATAGCAGAGAAGCGATCCCGAGACCCCCGAGACTGACGTTCTCCGCCCCCAGGCTGCGCCTAGATATCCTGTCCGTGAAAATCACGAACAGGACCGGTGACAAAGGGCAGCCCTGGCGGAGGCCAACACCCACCGGGAACGTGTCTGACTTATTGCCGAGAATGCGGACACAGCTCCTACTGCAGTCGTACAGAGACCGGATCGCCCGTTGTAGTGGGTCCGGCACCCCATACTCCCGCAGCACCCCCCACAAGACCCCCCGAGGGACCCGGTCGAAAGCCTTCTCGACCGGCCTGCAGACCGGGCGGCGGGTCGGGCGGGAGGCCCGGGCATGCCGATCGCCGGCGGCATAGACTAGCTCTAGGGACGTGGAACGTCACCTCGCTAGCGGGGAAAGAGCCGGAGCTGGTGCAGGAGGTGGAGCGATACCAGCTAGAAATAGTTGGACTCACCTCCACACACAGCGTTGGCTCTGGAACCAAGCTCCTGGAGAGGGGTTGGACTTTGTCCTTTTCCGGAGTTGCCCAGGGTGAGAGGCGCCGGGCGGGAGTGGGGATACTCACAAGCCCCCGGCTGAGCGCCGCTGTGTTGGAGTTCTCCCCGGAGAGCGAGAGGGTCGCCTCCATGCGCCTACGGGTTGCGGGGAGCAAGGCTCTGACTGTGGTTTGTGCTTATGCACCAAACAGCAGTTCAGAGTATCCGGCCTTCTTGGAGTCGGTGGGAGGGGTCCTGGAAAGGGCGCCGCCTACCGACTCCATAGTTGTCCTGGGGGACTTCAACGCTCACGTGGGCGATGACGGAGAAACCTGGCGGGGGGTGATTGGGAGGAACGGCTTGCCCGATCTGAACCCGAATGGTGTTTCGTTATTGGACTTCTGTGCTTGCCATGGTTTGGCCATAACGAACACCATGTTCGAACATAAGGTGGCTCATAAGTGTACCTGGTACCAGAACACCTTAGGCCGGAGATCAATGATCGACTTTGTAATCGTATCATTTGATCTGCGGCCGTATGTCTTGGACACTCGGGTGAAGAGAGGAGCAGAGCTGTCAACTGATCACCACCTGGTGGTGAGTTGGATCAGATGGCAGGGGAACCAGTCGGAAAGACCCGGCAAACCCAAACGTGTAGTGAGGGTGAACTGGGAACGTCTGGCAGAGGACCATGTCCGGGAGGTCTTTAACTCCCACCTCCGGAAGAACTTCTCACACATCCCGAGGGAGGTTGGGGACACGGAATCCGAGTGGACCATGTTCAAAGTCTCTATTGTGGACGCGGCCGCTAGGAGCTGTGGCCGGAAGGTCATCGGTGCCTGTCGTGGCGGCAACCCGAGAACCCGGTGGTGGACACCGGAGGTGAGGGAAGCCGTCAAGCTGAAGAAGGAGACCTTCAAGGCCTGGTTGGCCCAGGGGTCTCCTGAAGCAGCTGACAGGTACCGGCAGGCCAGAAGGGCTGCAGCTGCGGTGGTCGCGAATGCTAAAACTCGGGCATGGGAGGAGTTCGGGGAGGCCATGGAGAAGGACTTTCGGTTGGCCTCAAGGAGGTTCTGGCAAACCATCCGACGGCTCAGGAAGGGAAAGCAGGGCTTACCCCAGGCTGTTCTCAGCAGGGGGGGGGGGAACTGCTAACCCGGACGGAGGACATCGTCGGGCGGTGGAAAGAGCACTTTGAGGAACTCCTAAACCCGACCAACATGTCCTCTGCAGAGGAGGCAGCGCCTGAGGACCCAGGAGGAGGCTCACTCATATCCCTGGCAGAGGTCGCTGAGGTAGTCAAAAAGCTCCTTGGTGGCAAGGCGCCTGGGGTGGATGAGATCCGCCCTGAGATGCTGAAGGTGCTGGACATGGTTGGGCTGTCCTGGATGACACGCCTCTTCAATGTCGCATGGGGGTCGGGATCAGTGCCCATGGAATGGCAGACCGGGGTGGTGGTTCCCATCTTCAAAAAGGGGGACCGGAGAGTGTGCTCGAATTACCGGGGTATCACACTACTCAGCCTCCCGGGGAAGGCTTATGCCAGGGTGCTGGAAAGGAGGCTCCGACCGCTTGTCAAACCTCAGATTCAAGAGGAGCAGTGCGGATTCCGTCCCGGCCGTGGAACAGTGGACCAGCTCTTTACACTCGCAAGACTACTGGAGGGGTTCTGGGAGTTTGCCCAACCAGTCTACATGTGCTTTGTGGACTAGCTTGAATTGTACCTGTTTATACTATCAACATATTGTTGTTATGTTTAGTTGTGTACTTAGATTATGGTTATGGAACTGCAAGCAGATGGTAATAAAACTTACTCTCGAAGTTAAGCACGGACCCAGCCGTTTTAGTGTGTTTGACTCAGAATCTGTGTATAGGATTATGGCTGTCCTTCTTGTTCTCTTTAACACACACACACACACACACACCAAAATGAGTTTAGCTTTGCTACAGTGACACACACAAGTGCCTCTCCTTTTTCTTTACCTCTCTCTCTACTCTATTTCTATCTATCTATCTATTTATCTGTCTGTCTGTCTGTCTGTCCTGTGATCTATCTGCTCATCAATCTAGTTTTGTCTTTCTCCCTTCAGGAGCCTTAAACATCCCAACATTCTTCAGTGTTTTGGGCAATGTAGTGAGAGCATTCCCTTCCTCCTGGTTATGGAGTTCTGTCAGCTGGTGAGTACAAAGTGCCCATTTAAATATGGGACAAAAATGATATTGAACATGGGGGGGGGACTATTATTTTCCACCTTTGTTGCAGTTTTTCAATCACATTAAAAGTTAAGGTTATTTTTCATGAGTACTTTGCTTCAATTAATCCCTATTTCAATGTAATTTTATGTGACTAGTTCTGCATATTATTTGCTGCAGGAAAGATAAATTATTGGAATTATTGATGTTCCAGTGTCACTGAAATCTGCTTTGCTTCAGGACAATCGGTTTGTTTTCTTTCCCTCTGCTGGCTTAATCACTGACTGATTAAGAAAGCCATATGGCTCTCAGGCAAAGCAGAGACACAAGCAGATCAATTACAGCAACACAGCGAGAGATGCCAAACAACAATGGGGGCCTCACTGCTATTTGATAAAGTCTCCTATTGTCCTTTCCTTGTGGTATATTTTCCATCCTTTTTTTATAGTCCTCATTTTATTCCCTTGCCCTTCCTGAAGCATAAATGACTAATTCAAAGGCTGCCAGCTCATGACCAATTCCCATGCAGCTTTTGAGGCTCTGTGATAAAAAACGTGTAAAAAGGCACATATTTACTGCAGAGGTCACAGATATTCCCTTATACCGTGTTGCCTGCAAGTTTTATCTCTGTTTTAGGAGATAAAAATACTCCTAAACTTGGCAGGCACACTTAATGGCCCAACTGGCATTAACTCATCTTCTACTTAAGTCTCCATGCATTTCACTGCTTGTGTTATTATTGTGATGTACAACTAGGGTGACCTGAAGAGGTATCTGAGAGCCCAGCGCAAGTCAGATGGGATGACCCCTGACCTGCCGACCCGGGACCTCTTGACTCTTCAGAGAATGGCTTTTGAGATCACCTCTGGTGTGCTGCATCTCCATGAAAACAGCTACATCCACAGGTCAGTCACGACTGTACATAATTACAACCCACTTCTTTAAACAAGATTTGTTTATCTCTCAGATAGATACAGTGTGTGTCTCTGTTCAATGTGGCTGATGGTTGGAGGGTTTGTTCTACTCTCTGCAGTGATATGGCTTTAAGAAACTGCCTGGTGACCTCAGACCTCACTGTTAGGATAGGCGACTATGGCCTTTCACACAACCATTATAAGGTAAGTGGGTCTTTGATTGTATTTCTCTGAAAAATCAACCCAAACATAAGTTTAAGATATTTAAATATATGCGACCAGATTTTCTCATCCTATATTTTGAATTTTAGCAACTGTAAAGCCTATGTTTTGTCATGTAAATGATGAGATAATACATTTTTTCCTCAGTATAAAAGTCATTCTTGTTGTATTTCATTGTGAAGGAGGACTATTACCTAACTCCAGACAAGCTATGGATCCCACTGCGCTGGATTGCTCCTGAGCTGCTGGAGGAGTACAGAGGATCACTCATTGTTACAGACCAAACCAAGACCAGCAATGTGTGGTATGTTTTAGATCTGTCACTGCTGTTGATATACAGCGCAAGCCAGACTGGTTATGGCCAGTTCACGTGGGTAATTCTACGATCATGCTTGTCTATCTGACGTCTGGTAGCCATTAGGTACACCTGTTAAATCTAATACAGTCAAATACAGAAGTAGTTTGTTGTCTCAGTTAGAGCTTTCATTTGGCCCAAAATGTCAAATGTCTTACTCTTTTGAATCTTAGATTTAAGCAGATTGAAAGTAAAATGTTTCAAATGTTTATCTTAAACAAATCAAACCATGAATACTTACATAAGCCTACCTTTAAATACCAGTGTGACCTCAATTTTGCTGAAGCAGAGTCTGGAAGTCCACCAGTCAGCGGCGGGTTTAGTGCCATTGCCAGGCCAAGTAATATCAGAGTGAGTGATGGACGAACAAGAGCACAAGCTGGACTGAACCCTCAGCCTCAGATATTACAACTCCGCTTAAATGTGTTTTGTTGAATAAACCAACAATAAAACATTATGGCAACAAAACACCTAACTAAAGGAAGAGTACTTTTTCTTGTCACAGAACAAACGATAGCTTAAGATTGAAGAAATATTTTACTTTAAAAAAGTCGTGTTTGCTTTTAAGTCTGAGCTCTGTATAAAACAATGTGTTGCTATAAAAGCATAACATAATAAGGTCTGTCACTACATCTTATTTTTCCTCCAGGTCCTTGGGTGTGGTTATATGGGAGCTTTTTGAATTTGGCTCTCAGCCCCACAGACACCTGAGTGACGAAGAGGTGTTGACCTTCGTCATTAGAGAGAGACAGATCACCCTGGCCCAGCCCAGACTCAAACTCTCCCATGCAGACTACTGGTCAGTACTCATCAACTAAGTGGAGCTTTGCAGAAATTATGGTTGTATTGTTGGAAAGTGAAAATGCCCTAATTCTGTCTCTCCAAACTTAATTCCTCTGTCCTCAGGTATGAGATCATGCAGTCCTGCTGGCTACCTCCATCTCAACGCCCCTCTGTAGCAGAGATATTCCTCCTCCTCTCCTCCCTCCTGGCTGCTGAGCGAGGAATGGCGAGGGGGAGTGTCGGGGAAGAAGATGAAGAGGATGAGGAATATGAGGAGGGTAGAGGAAGGAGAGGGGAGAGCGAGGAGTCGTTTGAAAGACGCTGGGACTTACTCCGTCCGCCTGCCTTCCAGACTGCAGCACACGAGCGGAGAGAGAGAGAGTACGGCAGGGAAGACAACTCCTACCCCCTACTGGACCCTGTAGGGAACTGTATCACCACGTCCTCGTCTGAACTGGATGACATCCTGACAGTTACTGAAACCAGCAAAGGTTTGAACTTTGAGTATTTCTGGGAAAAGGCTCATGCCAGACGAGGCTACAAACCTCTGCCTCCTCCTCAGCCAATCCCCACTGTGAACAATAACCACAGACAGTCTTTGGACACACCCACTGTGGTCCCAGTGATAAGCGCCCGCAGCCCCTCCCTCGCCAGCGAGTACTACATCAGATTAGAGGAGCACACTCCCCAGGACAAGTCACCAACTCTTAAAGGGAAGACCCAGTCCTCTTTCCGCTCTAACTCGATCTGCCCGGGAGACATGGAGCTGGTGGAGATTCGCAGTGGAATGCTGGGAAAAGAGCGGGTCCCTTACTGTTCCTCTGATAAGTGTGGAAAAGGCCTCCAGACCATCAGATCAAGCGAGATTCACCTCCAGGTGCCCAACACAGGTGTGGCTGAATTCAGAGACACTTCGAGTAGAGTGACTGACTTTTCAGTAGTTGATTTGGGAGACGATGATGAAGAGGACAAGAAAAGGGGAAGTGAGGGAGACAAAAAATCTCATGCCCCGGTCCTTCCTCCCAAGCCTCGCTCTATGTCCATGTCGTCAGCCAACCACCTTTACTCGCGCCCCCTCCCCGCCCCCCCACTTGGTTATAGAGGACTGCCTCACTACACCATCAGTGGAAAAATCGAAACAGACCCCCATCACATGAGCAGCTGTCCACCTTCTACCTTTGATCACCTGGGGCTCCATCGGTCCCGACAGACTCTACCCCCATCCCCGTCCCTCTCCCCCTCCCTTCCCCCATCAAGCCATCCAATTTACCCCCAACCTCCTCAAATGTGTCCCCCGCCCCTCCCTCCCCACTCCAAACCACAAAGAAGCTGCCCCAGCTACAATACAGCAGAGACTTATTCAAGATACAGTAGGCCGCAGATGCAGAGATCAAGTAGAGACCCATTATCCTGTGACTTGTCTGACAGAGAGGGTGGTAGCAGGCACTTAGCATCATTGCACAACTCCAGGGAGACTTCTCATTCTCGTGCAAAAGACTTTGACTCTCCTGTTCGCCGAGAAAACCCATTGCGTCCCATTTATCGCAATTTACCCCGTCCTCATCCCACAAACACCCAGATGGACGGACAGTCTTCATCCAGTCCCACCTACTCAGATGAGGATGACTCTCCCTTCACGTCCCCTGAGAGACCCAGTGGTGGGCCTACTGTCACTCACTCCAGCCTATCTGAAGATGCAGACCCAGCCTGTGCCGAGCTCTTCTCCAGGGGAATGAAAAGGACTCAGTCACGCCTCGACACCATCCTGCCTGCCATTTGGAGGGAAGATGCCGAACTTCATGCAGAACGTGTGGCTGCTGCCAAGAAATCCCCCATGCATCTGTTTCTGACAGAGATATCTAGTGTGACAGAGTCCAGTGAGCCCAAGTCAGAGGCTTCATGGGAGGGACAGAATGAGGAGAAAAGAGATGGAGAGAGATGGGGGAACTTTGTGCTGCCCAACAGAGGGATGCGCCGCTCCCAGTCGCTGATCACAGAGCTGGGGTCAGCAGGACAGTCATGGGAGCCAGAGAATTGCAACAGGACAGGAGCTACGGAGGACGATACAGTCACTAAAGAATCATTCCAGAGGGATCTTTTCCTCACAGAGATTGACACAGGAAGGATGGACACGGATCTGGAGGGGGGATCACAAACTGATCCAGTAAAATATCTCTATTCTTCAGGATCCAGATTGCGACCCTATGTCTGTGCTCCAGGACTTCCCTCATACACCGAGGCTGAGGAAGCCTATTCAAAGGGTATACGAAGATCCCGCTCTCTCCTCTCTGAGATCACCATCGGGAAGCAGGACTCTGAGTTGCAGCAGACTGAGAAGGAGCCACAGAGAACAGAAATGACCAGGGAGGAGTTCCTTAAGGAGATCCAATCAGCAGAGACCTTTCTGACTGAAATCATATCTAGACAAAACCCTGCTGCAAACAGAATGGAACCAGACTCATCTTACTCCCCTACTCCACTGTCTCCGGAATACGAGTCCATATGCATTGACCCAAGCTCCGCTCAGACCATCAGATTTCAGTCAGAGAGCTCCTTACGAGCATCCAACAAAGGCAAAGATGAAACACCAACTGAGGCCATATACGCACAAGTGACCAAGCGTGCTAAAAAGAGTGAGATAAAGGTTTCTATGAAACCTGAGATCCCAGTCCTTCATATAGGATCAAATAAACAACTTGTTCAACTGGACAGCGAAGGAAGCAATGCTGAAAACTGCCAATCGGATGAGTTTGTGTTTTCAGAAATCATGCCCAAAAATGGTCTTCTGCACAACCAAACACTTGCATGTCGGAAAGAAGAGGAGGAGAGTTCAGATGGCCCTGCCTTACCTGCCAGAGGAGAGCAAACAGCTCACTTAGAGCACTCTCCTTCTGAGTCCACTCAGAGTGTTAAAGACTCCAACGCGAACAAATCGCTAGTTACAAATGAAACAGATACTCAAATCACTGCTGTTATAGGGAATGGTGAGTTAATGAAAGAAGACCTACAGGGCAGCAGCGCCGAGAGAGGTCAAACACCTGGAAAGACCGATACCACGTCATATGATCCTGATAAAGGAAAGTACCAAACTGATAAAGGTTTTGCAGTGGACTCTGAACACATCAGAGCAGCTGATTTGAAGAATTCTGGAGAAGATTTGGGTTCTCAAAATAATGAGACGAAAAGAGAGAATTTACAACACAATGACACTGGGCAAGAAAAACACTGTCACACTGCCGAAAAGGCACCCACTCCTGCTGCCACTCCAACCACTCCCGACTGGGACCCATCCTCTGATGTCTCACTCATCACCCCAACCGACTCGGGCCTGTCACCCATGACTTCCAACTCAGCCGACTGTCTCACACCTAGTGACTCATGGACGAGCGGTGAAGGAGGAGTTGGAGGAGGCGGGTGGCGAGCTCTAGGAAATGAAACACCACATCGAGACTCTGCCTATTTCTCAGACAGTGAATTGGAGGGGGAGGGGGTGAGCAGGAGGAGCAGTGATGGACTTTTTGCCTCCAGGCCGGGCAGCAGTCGAGGGGGCGATCGGGGAACACTGACAGGGATAGAGGAAAAAACTGAGGAGGAGGGAGAGATGGGAGAAAAGAGCCCCTTAAGAAAAATCATACAGCTGTCACATAACAAATGTGAAATTGGAGAAACCATTGAACTGTGTGAGGAAACGAGGACTCCATATCAACATGCTACAGGAAATGCTGTCTCTAATTTAGGTGATGACAAAGATATTCTAAACAAAGGGCTAGAGTCAGCACAGAGAGACGATTCTGGCATTTTCCAAAACGAAAGCAAAACGTCAACACTGCTGTGTGATGATCCGCAGGCCAAGGACTGCGTTGACTTAATTGATGAGTTGTTCTCAAAATTAAACGACGAGCCACTGAAAGGACTCCCACACAGCGGTGGGTATCCGATTGACAACCACTTCAGAGAAGGCGTCATCTCTCAGATAACAGATTGCAAATACCAGGGCTCTGCAGACAACGATTTAAATCTACATTCCAAGAGCCTGGCTGAGACAAATATTTTGATCGAGTCTGTATCTGGCAGCCGGTCAAATGATTGTGTGTTGAGCCCCAGCAATAAAGAATACACAAGTGTTACAGAAACGGATATTGATCTCTCTGCACTGAACTCCCTCACATGTGGAAATGACACTGTTGAATATGTAACACCATCCCAGGTTGACAACAGAGAGTCGAGATTATCTAAACTTTACGGAATTCAAACCAGCGAGGCCACACTCAGCGATGACACCCCGTCAGTAGTCGAGCCAAGTGAGGTTGGGAAGTCTGTCTGTGATAAAGTGAGTGGCCCGACATGTCCTTCTTGGGCTGAGGAGGGTGTTGAAGAGCCTGAGGGACATGAAGAGAGGCCTGGTCAAGACCACAACGAGCTGGGCCTGAGAAACCTGCGCTGCTCAGATGGAAGCGAGCACAAGAAGGTCACTACGGAGACGGAGAAACAGCTGGCTGCCGCAGAGCTGAGTAATGCCATGAAGGAAAAGTCGCCCTTGAGAGGAGCAGTCAGTCGGATGGACTGTGCTAACAATGCAGATAAAGACTCCTGCGAGGGCCTGGATGTGAAGACGAAAGAGTTATGGAGCGCCCTGGAGGAGGATGAAGAAAAAACAGGATCTGGTGTTGTTAGGGGAGAGTTTGACTGCCATCGTTTTTCACAGTCAACAGACTTACGTTTGTGGCCTGATGAAAATGACCAGTGGGCCTCTCCAGAGAGGAGATGCCAAGACATTGAACTGAGATCAGAATTTTTCTCTGGGTTCAGTAATAAGGCCTGGGAGGTGGGGGAGAGGCTCGTTGTGGGTCAGGAGTTTTGGGAGACTGAAGAAAACGACGAACTTGCAGGACGCGAACCGCACCCTGCCATCTTGGAGGGCTGCGAAGAAACCTGGAATGATGAATCACAAGGAATTGCTGGTAAACTTGCCATTAAGGAAACATGGGACTCTGCAGGCGATAATGACCAACAGGCTGTCCAAGTGTTAGATGTACAACAGGAGGAAAATATTGAGAACATAGAAGAAATTGGCCATTTTAACAAAGACCTAGAAAAAGCATCCCCAGATATGGAAGTAGAGAATATAGAAATTCCAGAGCAGGAGTCCTTGGAGAAAGGAGAGAGGCAGATTTTGTCATGCACAGACACAGTCCAGGACAGGGAAGGTCTGCTAGACTCCACAGAAACAGAGGAAAATCGAAATTTTAACAGATGTCCTCAGAATCACCTCTGCACGATCCAAAAAGAGGGACAGACATCAGCTGAGCATGTTGACAAAGAAACAGGCTCTAATTCAGAGAACTGCTTCAGTCACACTTTGGACAGCTCAAATATAACTATTTGCATCACCGAAGCTCCTCATGAGAACTTTTCAGACCTGGAAAATGTTGAATCAGGCGCAGATTTAGAGGCTGAAATGAGACCATGGATTGCTAGGGAATATATAGAAGAGAGCGTAAGCATTATGAACGAAGAAGAGGATTACAGAGACATGCCGCCTCCACCCAATGATTGTCCAAGTGACCTTGATGTGCAGGAGGAGATGGATCAGTCGTATCCACAGGTAGACAATTTCAGCTCAGTAGATTTTCCTAGTCCTCCACCAAGCATAGACCTTGATGTGCAAGATGATAAATTGGAGAGTTTAGACGACTCTTTTCCTAGTCCTCCACCATCTGTTATAGAGGCAGAGGAGTTTATTAGTCACATTAATCTAGAAGACTTTATTGCTAGCACTGAGACAGAGTCGTATATTTCCCCAACTCACAACGCAGATGTCTCAGAGCCACCTCTGCAAGAATTACCACCTGCTACAACTCAAATTAAAGGGATCTCAGCCAATCTGAACCTTCCCTCTGTGCACATAACCTCGGCCGATGAGAGCGACCTTGCATCCAATATAGAAAAACAGGATGAACATAATAATTTCTTCCAGAAAACATCATCTGCCTCCCCATCTTCGCCCCAAGTTCCCCTCAACAATCTCCCAGAATTACTGATTTCTGAGTGGAAAAATTTGGATGAGGAGCCGCTGGAGGATTTCGAAAAACTGGAACAACTGTGTTGCATATCTGAGGACGAGGAGGACTCTCTGGGCGATCTTTTTCTGGGGAACCTAGAGCTCCTGGAGTCTTTGAAGAAAACACCTGAGCAGAAGGGCAGCAGTGTTGGTGATAGCGATACAGCTGAAGAGACATGTTGCACCTCGACTCCTGAGGGGAGCAGGGTGGATTTGAAGGAGGCTCGGATCTCTGATAAATCTGACAAACTAGCCGAATCTGCACCCCAGCTGATCTTGGACTCTGAAGAGGAGAAGAATGACGGACAGAGATCATCAGGCCAAACCCCTGATGTCAAAGATACGGGCTCTCTCTCTAAGATGACAACAAAGAATGGCCTCATGATGCAGGTGAGCATGTTTTTTGTGTTTTGTTTGTTGTAAAGGTGCTCCTTATATTACCTACTGAATTTATTCAATCTGTATTGTTTTGTTCTGCTGCTTCAGGTGTGTGAGGAGAGGCTGCAGTTTTCCCTCAGTGAAAATGTGAAAACAAATGTGCTCTGGGGCTCGACTGTTAAAGACACAGTGACGCTCCGGCCCTGGGGGGAACAAATCACAGAGAGCAGCAGTGAGCTGGTCACTGTCTTAGAACAACAAGAGGATGAAAGGTATGAAGAAGTCTGAACTTGGAAATCTGAGTTTATGTTAAATGGTCAATTCACACAAATTATAAAAAACATCAGCACATATTTTCTTACTTTCCACTAGTGGTATTTAATAGAGGCCTCAAAGTCCTGAAACGTTTCTTTTATTCACAAAAATGATCCTCATTAGTGACCTCATGGGCTCAGTAGTAGCAGCCATACAGATATTTTGGGTTTTATTTGCCCAACTTTTGAGATATTTGTTTGCCTTTATGGTGGGGATGAATGGATTTTCATTTGCAAAATCCACATCTCTCTTTACATGCAGTGTCCCTGTTACTTTGGATACTCTGAAAGATCACATTGCGACATATTTTCAGAGGGACTCTTTATTTTTTGTAGAAAGTAGTTCCATTGGAAACTTTTGACAGCGACATCTGTGGATTAAACTAACGGGGATACTACATACAGTACTATTTAAATGTAATTTTCAAAGCTGTGAGCACAACAATGAAATGAAAAAGAGATGAATAATACAAAACATGGACACATAAAAAATCTGCATGGCGAGATACCACAAGGGTTATTTATATATAATATTTTGGTGATCTGCCTTTTAATATTCATGTTTTAATTAATTGTTTTGTTGTTGTTGAAGCCAAGAGAAGCATGAAAGTTCCTCCAGCATTCAACCCCACACCGAATCTGATGAAACTGAAGCTGAGCCGCTCACTGTGATTGAACAACCTGAGGTCCCAACCCCTCAGCCGACTGCAAACCAGGCAATGAAAGGTACCTTCATGTTGCACTTATTGCTCATAAGCATGACTGAGATCATTGAATACAATCTTTTACTTTTTTACTTGATTTTGTGTCAAAGTTTGTTCCGCCATGCCTAGCCACACACTAGTTTATGGTGAGTTAAGGCCTTACCCAAGTTATGGATGGCAGCATGGTGGGAAACGCTATTCGAAGGGGAAACAGACTGCAGCAAAAGAGTTTTATTGACATACAGTGAAGAGAGATTGGAAAAAGATTTATCTATTTTGTATTGTGTTTTTATTTGTTTGTTTGTTTTAGGACCAGGAAAACAAAGAAAACTAAAATTAAAAACTCGAGTCCATAATTAAGATAATATCTTCAATCTTAAGAAAAAATGAAAACTGGTCTTCCTGTAGAGGGTCTGCAAACTTTTATCCAAATCTTTAAAGAGTTTTCTGACTGGGAAGAGGTGAACACTCTGGTCAGGTACCTCTCATATCTAACATCTCTTCTCTATTCTCATTTTCACAGCAAAACTAGCTCGTCTCTCTCTCACCCTCCCTCCTCTCGCTCTGACTCTTCCCCTCACCCCCACTGGTAAAGGAGGTTTTGGGGACGGTGCGATTGGAAATCGGATCGGAAGACGGAGATGTTTGCCCTCAGGAAGCGACGCTGACGAGGAGGAGGAGGATGAGCAGGAGGACGAAAGCTCCCAGAGGATGATTGTTGTCACAGAAACAGATGTGGACAAACGTGTCGGGCTGAGGAGTCTGCTGAAATCACCCAAAGAGCCGATGGACAGAGAGAGGGACAGAGGAAGAAATGTGTCCTTTTTTGATGATGTCACGATTTATCTTTTTGATCAGGTATCTCCCGTTTTTTCAATGATTGATTCATAGGAGACTTTTTTTAATATCATAAAAGGAGGCCTGACTGTACTTCTTCATTACAACAGGAAACTCCGACCAATGAGTTGAGCAGTTCGGCGCCCACAAGTCCAGCCCCAGTGTCCATCAAAAGCACCAAGCTAGATTTGCGTGGTAAGATCATAAACATTTTAAACATCCAACCATCTCACTTTCATGATGAGACGCAGAATGAGGAGGTGACATTTTTATGGCACTGTCGGTCAATCATCCACCATTTTTACCATTAAATATTGTACAGGAAGTCATGGTCCCCAGAGGACAAATCCTCCTGACTTTGGAGCATGCTCACATGCTAAACCAAGATCGGGAGCATGGTAAACATTATTCCTCAGCAGATTAGCAGTGTGCGCCTTTTAGCATGCCAATGTTAGCATTTAGCTCAATACACTGCTGGGCCTGAGAGCAGCATCACAGAACCGCTAGCATGCTGTAGACTCCTCTTATCAGACTACAGATAATGTGCATAAGTCTGACATATGTTTCTTTTTATACGTGTTATCACTCAGTCCCCACCTTGAGCCGGAGAAGGACAAAATACAATCTGACAGCCACTAACTCATCCCCACCCACCGAAATGGAAAAACCTCTGTTCAACAATCTCTTCTCCAAACATGCAGCCAAAATTAATCTTCTATAATTATCCCCCTCGACACTGTGACTGTAAAACTGAGCAGCGACATAAATCCTGCACTCAACAGTGCAAGCCTAAGCTGTGTTTCCCAACACATTTTCATTTGCTCTCTTGACTTTGCTCTCTCCATTTTGGACGCTGATTACCTCATTTCAAAGAATAATGAAAGTTAGGGCTGTGTGCACACATACAGAAATGCAAAAACTCCAAAATTAGATGCTTTCATGATCTTTCGTAGCCTTAAGAGTTGACACTTCAAAGCCTTGAAAGAAGAGGATCTGTCCCTTTGAGTTATTTTTAACTAAAAACTGCATCGCTTCAGTATGATTATATTAATAGATATAAAACATTAGTTCATTTTCTGACTTGTCATTGGTTTGGTGCAAATGATAATATCTCACTCTGTTTGTTTTGAAGAAACGTGCCGCAGTCATTTATTCGACAGATAGGCTAGATAGACTGGGGGGTGGGGGGGAGTGAGAGGGGGACAACATGCAGCAAAGGACCACAGGTTTGATTCCAACCTGGGCCGCTGTGCTAAGAACTGGTACATGGGGGGCCCGCTTTACCATGTGACCTGGGTGCCCCCATGTGTCCCAGTCATGATGGATTATGAGACAACAGGCCCTGGGGCAGAGACATGTAAAAGGTCCCCCAAAATAACATTTATTTTTACAATCAACACTTGAAATGATGAAGGCAGAACGTGGCTATTTAGTTTAAACTGGAGATTTGATTCTGGTTTAAATAACTTTTCTAATTTTATGCTGTGCAGCTGCAATCTGATGGTAAAAAAACAATAGTCAAACAATATTGGATCTGTTTGGCAAAGAGAATGAAAATAATAATCAAACATAATAATAATGATTAATATTCTGATGAGGATCTGGAGCAAAACAAACCCAATCAGGACTTTCCCTATTTTAACTGAGTTGTAATGAAATGAAGCTGACTGGGGGTTCACATAGTGCTTGATTTTGTTTTTTCCTTTCCACCAGGGTCAAACATCAAGAGCAAAGATTCAAAAAGGAAAGAGGATTTATCAATCAAACCGAGGTCGCCCGTGGGGGCCAAAACAGTGACATCATCGCGCTTCACTGTCAGCCCTGCCAACGACCCCCACTCGGCGTGATGTTTCATGTCGTGGGAACCTTTAGAGCTGAACCCTCTTGGACTGGCCAGTGAATTAACCACAACAACCAGCCATTCACCCAGAGGCTATTTTTTTATTGAAGAGGCATCTTAAAGAATGAGACTCCCGTTCTAAAAGCTGGACACATTCCAGGTTTTACCAGCGACAGGATTTTGTATGACAGGGGTTGTTGTGCTCATGCCTGCCACTATTTACAGAGTTTATTCACAGCCTTCAGCTACAAAAGTCTTTGGAAAAGGCAGCATATGCTAGGAGAAGAGGAGCCCGGAGCTTTGTAAAATCGGAAACAGATTCGACAGCTATGCAGTGGGAGTCTTGCTGTGTACCAGCTTACCTTCTCTTTTTCTTCTTCATTCTGTTGTATTGTTCCCCAGATGTGCGGCGAATGCACTTTCTTTGGTCATTCATCTGTCTATGTAAACACTTGGATTCCAGTCCTCTCTTTATTAAAGAAGTTTTTCATTGCAGTCAGTCAGTTGTTCTTGTCGGCAGCTGTTTGAAACAGAAATCGCTTGACCTGTATTTGAGAATACTCATTTGCATTTGTACAAATGTCATAATACAAGTGAATCCAATATCATTTTAGAGCTGTTTACTTTTAGATGTATCCTTAGACTGCACGAAAAATGAAACAAGCTATGCTTCTTTATACTTTTAGTTCTAAAAAGATTTCTCTTATGTTATTAATTTAAATTATAGATATTTATTATATTGTTTAAATTATTTATGTAAAGCCAGTTTTTATGCAATATTTTATTTATTTATTTATTAATCTGTTTATTTATTTGCTTTCTGCAATTAACATATATTAGCTTAGCTATAATTTCTTTGGGACTGAATGCATCTAGGTTATACCTTCGCTAAGATCTTCATAACAAATAAATGAAAATATTTTCCCAAACGTGTTAATTGCTAAAAAGGTATTTTGTATAATTTGACTTGTTAATATATGCCGATCTGTATCGAACTATGTCCTGTAAAGTGTCATTATTTTCCAATGTCTAGGAATTTTTAGCTGTCTTGTCATTATTTTACCTTGTTTAAAGACCGTTAATGTAGCTTAGCATGAAAAATCAAAGCCTTTCAACAGTAAATAACTCCATTTGTTTGTGTATCTGTTAATTTACCCCATTTTCTACTAATAACAGTTCATCCTGCAGTCGAGGTCCAACTAGTCCATTTGTTTAGTCTGTTTAAATGTTGGTTTAAAACCTGTATTGTTTAAAGAACGGTTTTCAAGGGGTAATGTATAAACAAGGGGAAATAAAAACTACAAAATGTGAACCTCTTATTGAACTGTTTCATGAAAATAAATCGTTTTGTTTTGTAATTGTAAAGCGCTCTATTTATAACTCAGAAGACTTGTGTATCTCCTGCTGAAACACCTGTTTGTGCAGCTTATTGACTGCTAGCTGTCTGGGTTGGGGAGTGAACGTCATTGAAATATCTTTATGCATCGCTAATCTCTGCAAGATTTGGTTATGGCTGTGGTGTATGGTTCAGCGGCTAAATGTGTGCTGTCAGACCTGGATGTTATTCAGGCTGGTGCTCTGAGGGTTTGCTTAGGGGTCAGTGAAAATGGCACCAGTGTTCCTCAAGTTGAGCGGGAGAAGCGGCGCTGTAGCTCTGCAGGAAACAGCTGATGGCCAATAACTGGATAAATCTAAGGGGTCACAAACATGTCATCCATCTAAGAGGTTCTTTGGGGCCTGTTGGTCGAGGGGGAAAGTACAAAAACATGTTTTGGATGGGTAGGCAGCGATATAGCAGAACAAATGAAAGTTAATGAAATAGAGTTTTGTCTAATGTCAACCTGTGAGACCGGATTGAATGCTGCAAAATGCTTGTGTGGATATGGAGCTACTGAATATTAAGCACAGAAATAAATCAGCAGATCTATTTCAGGAATATTACAGTTATAATGACAGACTCATGACAGTGATTACATGCAGCTTTTTACAGACATCCACTCCAGGATCTACTTACAGAGGTAAAGAGGCCGCAGTAGACTTAATGTCAGAGGAAAATATAGTCATTGTAATCAGTGTCAAGAAACGACAGAAGAACACGTCCTGGTTTCATGCAGGAAATATAAAGACTAAAGAAGGTTTGTGGTTGTAGGACTACAGAGGAGAGATCTGGGTAAAGACGGGACATGGTGGAGGGGAGAAAATGGGTGTTTATGTTTCTGAAAACAACCGGACTATGGACAAGGCTGAAAGAACATAAGATAACAGTGGAAGATTAAATCCATTAGGAGGCAGTAATGCAATTTAAAGGATACCAGTAGCCGAAAACAAACAAACAATGAACAACAATAAATGCGTTTGGAGGTGGAGGGGAATAGGAGAAGAAGCGTGGTCTTAACAGTTCCCTCTATGTTATTTTAAAGCAGACTAATGGAAAGTTGGAGTTTTGTGAAGAAGAAGAAACTGTGGACCATGTTTTATTGTTCTTTCAGAAGTACGATTCAGCGAGAGACGTTTTTAAAAGTGGAATAAGAGAGAAAATATCAGTATTGTACAAAAAAAAAGTTATATTGACAAATGGTGGAAACTTCTTCTCGAGTATTTAGTGTCCACAAGACTAATGAAGAGAATTTAAGACTTTTTCTTTCATTCGTTTCCTTTAGTTTGGTTAATTATTTTCTTTTCTTTGTTTAGTTGTCGGATTAGAGAAAGGGTAGGTCCTGAGTCCACACTCCAGATCAGTGAGTGGCGGTAATGCACCCGGAAGCTGTTGGCCAACCACCATTAAAAGCAAAAGAAGAATAAGAAGGCGGATAAGTGTATTGACTTCATTTCCCATAAAGCAGTTCGAAGGTTTCTACGTATATATTCTGCGTCAAACGATTTAACCGTACGCCACAGCCAGACGAGGAAAACATCGCTTGAAGAAGTCGTTTTTACCTTAAAACCGAAGAAGCTCTTGGAGCCATCTGAGGGCGTTTTTAATTTAGGCTCTTTGGGCAACCAGAGTGTGAAGCCTAAAGGTAAGTTTGTGTTTCTTATAAAGTGTTTAGTCACATGACCGACTGCGTGTAGCCAACGGTAGCTAACGTTAGCTAAAACATCCCCAGTCACACATGTTTTGCTCACAATAAATCTCATTTGAATATTTTGTAATTAGTTATAACTACGATTAGTCGCATGATTGATTCGTATTTGCCTGCTAATTCAGTTACCAGCGTGGGGTAAAATGGCGAACAAACACAAATAGCAAGAGCACAACGCGTTGTCTTGGATTGCTTGTATTGTTTTGTGAAGGCCCAGACTATAATTAAACCAAGTAACGTTAAGGAGAAACTAGCAGTTATGATGCTGCTCCCAGTCAAACAGCGAAGTCCCATATGTTTTGCTTGTTAACCCTTAAAATTAAGCAATGTGTAGCTTAGTTGTGAGGTCGTGGCTTTAGTTGTTAGTTTTTCAAAATTATTTCGAAAAACTAATGGTTTATGTTGCTTTACTGCTTTTATGAAATGTCATTTAAGTTATCTTATAACGGATCAGTGCTGTGAATAACTTTTCATTTCCTTCAGCTATAACAAAACAATATTACTTAAAATCAGAACGGAAAGAGAACATTTGGATTTAATCGCTTTGCTTTTTTTTTTTTTTGGAAATTTCAGACGCCATTCAGTCTTGTTGTAGATGTTATATTAGAAAGATTAAAACTGTGATACAACCAGTAACGCTCAACACTCTGGGGGTCTATCGGATTCATTTTGTCCTCCTTAAATGTCCTCACACTCTCTGCTGCTGGTTGCAGATGTCTCTGGCGGATGAGCTCCTGGCAGATTTGGAGGAGGCCGCAGATGAGGGGGATGATGGCTTGTATCCTCTGGAGGAGGAGGAGGAGGAAGGGGGGGAAAGTGATGTAGAAGTAACACAGGGAAGGACAGATGGAGGACTAGAAGACATCCCAGAGGAGATGGAGGTGGACTACAGCAAAGCTGAGAGTGTTGCGTCCATCGCCAAGCTCCGCAATGGCAAACAGGTGAGTTGTATCATATGAGAGCGCTCATCAAGCAGATCTTCTGTTTTGGTCTTTCCCCACATAATTGTAATTTTTGTCTACAGTTTTCAGAGATTATGGACAAAATTACAATGTATAGTGGAAAGCAGCGCAAGAACTCAGAGGGTGAGTGTGACCTGTTTAAGTGGTCTGTTGTATTTGTTCCTCACAGCATTTAATCACACTTGAATATAAACCAAGAATCTCAATAACGTTGGTATGATTTTGTTGTTTTTTGTTTTCTTTTAGTCTCAGGTCCATTCGAGTCTGACCCAGAATACAGACTGATTGTCGTAGCCAATAACCTCACAGTGGAGATCGACAACGAGCTCAGTGAGTTGGGCGTTCAAGCTTGGTTGATTTTAAAACTCAAAATATAAAGGGTTTAATGTTGTTCTGCTCCAGATAACAACTTTCTTTAACCTCTGTTTCAGGTATCATTCACAAGTTTACTCGGGACAAGTACTCAAAGAGGTTCCCAGAGCTTGAGTCTTTGGTCCCGGATTCTCTGGATTACATCCGCACAGTCAAAGTGAGATGAGTCTAAATGTTTATTATGCTTTTATACCAAACATCCCCTTTTCAAAATAAAAGTACGATGACCAGAGTTGCTTTTGCTGTACTTTAGATTATTTGTATCTTTTTATTGGACAGAGGACACTTTGTAGTTATAATTGAATGTATGGTTACACATCTGCAAGGGTTTGTGTCATCACAAGTGTGTAGTGTTGAAGAAATTACACTTAATGGGTTAAAGAAAATGTATATAATAACTAAAAAGGCAGACCTAGTCTATTATCTCAAATGTGGTTTCAGCGTCTCATATTCTCTGTTTGTGCTTCCTGCTCAGGAACTGGGGAACAATCTGGAGAAATGCAAGACCAATGAAACTCTGCAGCAAATCCTCACCAACGCCACTATTATGGTTGTCAGTGTCACAGCCTCGACAACACAGGGGTGAGTCCACAGACATCTGGGGTTCATCGGTCCCATCCACGAGACGTCTGAGCGTCACCGGCACCATTTCAATGCTTATCATTAGGTTGACTTTGTGTGTTTTCATGGTTTTAGGACACTGCTGAGTGAGGATGAACTGAAGCAACTGGAGGAGGCATGTGACATGGCTCTGGAGCTGAACCAGTCCAAACACAGGATATATGAATATGTAGAGTCCAAGATGTCATTCATTGCCCCAAATCTGTCCATCATTGTTGGAGCGTCAACGGCTGCCAAGATCATGGGTGAGAGCTGGAAAAAGATCAGTTTTAGACTGAAATTGTTTAGAATCTTTGATATTACATTACAGCCGTTATCTGTCTCGAATAAATTATTTCTTTGTTATCCCGCTCACGTTCTTTCTCTGGTTTCCCCTCCGCTGCAGGTATCGCTGGTGGCCTCACTAACCTCTCCAAGATGCCCGCCTGTAACCTGATGCTGCTGGGAGCTCAGAGGAGAACGCTGTCTGGCTTCAGCAGCACCTCCCTGCTGCCCCACACCGGCTACATCTACCACTGTGATGTTGTGCAGTCACTACCACCCGTCAGTAAATATATCAACATAAACATATTGCAGTCTTCTCTTTTTGTGTACGTTTGAATCAGAACGGGGGCCGTGTAGCTCATGCTCGTCTTCTGTTTTGTGTCTTCAGGACCTCAGGAGGAAGGCAGCTCGTCTGGTGTCTGCAAAATGCACTCTGGCTGCCCGAGTGGACAGTTTCCATGAGTGTGCAGTTGGCAAGGTGACTGTCCAAATGGAGCACATACACATTATTGCTAAATGTACAAACAAGCTAAATTCTCTAATATTTTCGTGCCCTCTTTTACATATAACTAGCCTCAACCATTGCTATATAGTTGTGATTACACCTCTCTGACACTGTCAAGAAATTAACAGTTTAACATTTAGCTTTTGAATAAAGTTATATTAAAGAAAACAAATGTTTTGTTTTGCAGGTTGGCTACGATCTAAAAGAAGAAATCGAGAGGAAGTTTGATAAATGGCAGGAGCCTCCGCCAGTGAAGCAGGTCAAGCCGCTGCCAGCCCCTCTGGATGGACAGAGGAAGAAGAGAGGAGGACGGAGGTACACGTCCTGTCGGCTGAACAGGCCACCGATTTAGAGAAAAGTGTTGTGCAATGCTTGAAGTACAAATTAATTGATTAATGCAGCTTTTATTTCAAGTCAAACATTCTGCAACATCGGAACACTGAGAAACAAAATGAAGCGCACGGAGCAAGAATACCCTCACACAACTTGCAAAGTTAAGAATATCACCATCAACTAAAAATGTTTATACAGCATAACCGACTCCTCTGCTCATCATTTCTCCTGAAGGTATCGAAAGATGAAGGAGCGTCTCGGACTGACTGAGATCAGGAAACATGCCAACAGAATGACCTTCGCAGAGGTCAGTACTTATTTCTTATATCGCTCAACTCTTATCATCCAAGTTTTACTTCTATTTTAGCCAATAATATGTTGCATATCAATACTCTTGTCTGTGATCAATATTAGTTATTTGGCTTTCAAATCTAATACTCAAGGAATGTGTTTTACTTATATGCTATACAATTAATTATTTATGACTTTTTCCAAAGTATTTTACTGTCACTACAGACTTTTTTCCTCCGACGCGCTATACTATGACTTTTCCCCCCCGACGCGCTATACTTTTGACCTCCAGCATTCACTGGGGCGGTTTGCAGCCGAGTGTGAACTGGCGGGGATGAGAGTTAGCACCTCCAAATCTGAGGCCATGGTTCTCTGCCAGAAACCGGTGGATTGCTCCCTCCAGGTGGGGACGGAGTGCCTACCTCAAGCGAAGGAGTTCAAGTATCTCGGGGTCTTGTTCACGAGTGAGGGTAAGATGGAGCGGGAGATCGACAGGCGGATCGGTGCGGCTGCAGCAGTAAAGCAGGCGCTGCACCGGACCGTCTTGGTGAAGAGGGAGCTGAGCCGGAAGGCAAAGCTCTTAATTTACCACTCGGTCTACGTTCCTACCCTCACCTATGGTCACGAACTCTGGGTCGTGACCGAAAGGACAAGGTCGCGGCTACAAGCGGCCGAAATGAGCTTCCTCCGTAGGGTGGCCGGGCTCAGCCTTAGAGATAGGGTAAGGAGCTCGGTCATCAGGAGGAAGCTTGGAGTCGAGCCGCTGCTCCTTCGCGTCGAAAGGAGTCAGCTGAGGTGGTTCGGGCATCTAATTAGGATGCCTCCTGGACGCCTCCCACTGGAGGTTTTCCAGGCACGTCCAACTGGGAAGAGACGCCGGGGAAGACCCAGAACACGCTGGAGAGATTACATCTCCCAGCTGGCCTGGGAATGCCTCGGGATCCCCCAGAATGAGCTGTAACATGTTGCTGGTGAAAGGGAGGGCTGGGTCAGCCTGGTTGACCCAGCAAAAGACCTATGACTCCCC